TCAGGATTCTGTAAAACCTGAATCAATAAGCTGAATCAGAATCCTTCACATAGAAATTCTGGTCAAGATTTCGAAAGTCTTACGTTTGTCATATTTTCTTAGACATAAACACACACAGTATACGCCAGCTGCGCAGAAAACCCAGTAAAGGACATCAGGGTGTTTCAAGATGCAGTCATGCGACCATCATGGGTCTTACCGCGGCGTCCTGCAGGACAGAGGCTTGCGAGTGGCCCTGAAGATGACGTAGCTGGTGACGACGGAGAACATGCCCCACATGGACAGAAACCTCCACCAGTAGAGTTTGATGGTGAAGTAAAGAGGAACCACCCACATCTGGACGAGAGTCACGAGCTGAGGAGGAGACAGACAGTTAATTATATTTAACATCACACTTTTAACTTTACATAATATTTTCATTCTTTTTTTTCCAAAATGTAATTCTGCTGCTAATTTAGTCCACGCTGTACATAATAGTTTACTTCTGTACATCTGCTGCATCTCCTTTGTGGCTCTTTCTTCTTTTTCATGGACTTTTTTCCTTATCTAAATCGAGGGTCTTGTTGTATGTCAAACAGACTGTAAAGTCCTCTGAGACAGATTTGCTAAATGTTAAAGGGGAACTCCAGTGATTTTACACTTAAAGGTTAGTTTATGAGTCATGGTTATTACTCCAGCCTGTGAAAACAGATGCTACGAAGAGCTTAAGCCATACTAGGGACAAAGAGTCTGGATATCTCGGCCTCTGCTGACGATTATTTTCTAATTTTATCTCTTGAACCTCCCAAACTTTGTGGAAGTACAACCCTAAATACTGTTACCGCTATAAAAAACAAACAGACCTTTATACCATCTGTGCGGTTCCACATGTTCATTGTGACCCTACACTGCAGAACTGTGAACACTGAGTCCATCGGCTTAAAGCACGTTTCACACAGGAAACTGAGATGATAAACAGCTTAAATCTGCATTTAAACACACTTGAGCTTGTTGAATAGCTTCACCTCCATCCCCCCATCCCACTAAACACCCACACACACCCAGTCAGAGTCGCCACCATTTTAGCAATTTCCCAAAACCAATGATCTGACATTCACACCCACTTCATGCTATAACGGTGAGACTCTAATCACTTTTCACGTGAATAAGCAACACTATAACATTCTTTCAGGAGGAACTGCCTGAAGATGTGCACCGTTAGCTCCATATTTTAACCATTATTGCGTCTCCGCCTTTGACAGCCGGCTTATTAGCTCACCATCCACTGTGGACGTGCGGAACAGCTATAAATACATCTGGGCTTTGAAATTGAGAGCATGACTCATTGATTTTACGTTTAGATTTTGTAATGTTCACTCTCAAAACCCCGCCCACGTACTCAAACAGCTCCTGCTTGTGCTTAGATTCTAGCGGATCACTAAAAAGAGGAACAACCCGCAAGAGACAGTCTAAGAACACAACACTTCACCTGGCTTTCTAGTGCTTGGGGGATTTTGACATGGTTGTTGCACAAAAAAAAAGTCAACAAAAAGAGCAAATATCTTAGAGCAGATGTGTCACGAGTACGAGGAGAAGGGCTGAAGCTGGACATAGAAAATCTGAGCAGAAGCAGAGCAAATCTAAGCACAAGCAAGGGTTTTGAGGGAAAGCATTACAAAATCTGAACGTGAAATCAATAAACCATGCTCTCAAACTGAAAGACCACGCTCTTGAATACAGACAGCTAAAAACCCTCATACTTTGAGCATAACATGACCTTTAAAAGGCTGAGACAAATCACACGCAGATGTCTCATTGAGATCGACTGTTGCTGCCTTCGGCTCTCTTTTCAACTTTTCTCTCTCGGTCAGCACCTTCTTCAAAATCTATGTACTTATATCTTTTTGTAATAAAAACATTTACTTGATAACAGATACATATTGACAGAGTGTGGCCCTGTAAAATTCTTATGGTGTTGGTTTTGTGGTTGACCAGGATTTATAGTTGTATAATAGCCACAGTGAATACAACCATGTATGATATTAGTGAAGCCAGAGTCACAAGATATGTAAATAATGATTTGATTACTCAACACAAATGTACTATCTTCCAATGATAACTATTATTTAATGACATGACTACGACTTTGGAAGGTGAGTTTCAGGATGTTCCTATTTAGGGAAACAAGATATAATCAGAAAGAAATGAAAGTAAAACAAATCTCTCTGCTGGCTCTACAGTTTCCGTCCTTTTATCACACCATCACCACTCACATTGTACGAGCGGTGGTGCCTCTGCTTCCACTGCACCAGGACGATCTGAGCCACCACCAGCGTGGCGATGAGGATCAGCACCATCTCTGCATGCATGGCCTCGTGACCCCTGTGCTTCACATGCAGACGCTCATGCTGGACCCTGCAAAGAATAAAAAAAAGTGTGAAGGGGAGCAAGAGGGAAAGATATCAAAGGTAGAAAACACAAGGGGAATCAGGGTGAAGGGGCAGAAGAAAGACAGGCGGAGAGGGAAATGCAGAATTTAATTATATATTCCTGTTTTTATATAAAACAAATAGCATATTTTGAGTGTCTAATGGGGAAAAATATGCACTACTCACTTCCAGTTTTCTCTGTGTGTCATTTTCAGCAGGTCGTCCTGTAATAAGAAGCAGAGACAGGAATAGCAGCTGGGAGGTGTGTGGGTCTCACTGGACAGTTTTATGTAGGTTAATTCAGATTAATTAGCTTATCGACAAGTAACGCTTCTTCACGTTAATGAAGGAAAATAAGTAGTAATGTATAATGAAAAAAGGCGTTTCTGGTGTTAGATTACGCCTCTGTAATGCCACGTCCCAACAGCAGCAGCAGCCTGAGTATTGACAGCTCCTTCACAGCTGACCTGAAGCAGGCAGCTAGCTTGGGATGTTAGCTACTGTTAACCATCGCTTCTGCTCATTTAGACGTTAAAAGTATCCTCTGTTAAGGTTTACAGTGCGTGAACAGACGCATTATTATCTGAAGTTCCCTTACCTGAGGATGCACACCCGCCATTGTTAGGTTTTTACTGTCTACCGGCGCAAGCTAGCCGGCAAACCGCAGCTCGGTTAGCACCGCTTTGACAGCAGCCTCCTCACTGACAGCTGCTCCGCGGAGCCGCGTATGGAAGGCCAACAGGGTCAAAATGCTCACCGCGAGTAAATACTATGAGTGAGCTACAACACTGAATACAAGGTACAAGGTATCATTATACAGCAGAAGGTGGTATAATGAAAACAAAGTTTGTAATCCCTTCATGCCACGCGCACATGTTAACAGATAATTAAGATATGGCAACATATAGAATAAAATAAAACAATACCACAGTTTTTTATATACATACATATACCCAGAACATTCAGGAGTGCATTTTTAGAATATGCATCTGTGGTGAATGCGAAAAGCAGCAACAACATAATATAGTTTTAATCTTCACAGGTGACCAGATGGTGAAATACATGGGACAGAGGAGTTGGGGGTGGGCGTGACCTCCAGTATATTACTTTCTGTGTAGTACAGTACAGTAAAACCACAACGTGTGAAAATCCAAACTCAAAGCAAAAATTAGTGATTTTTATTCATGAAGTCACCTGTCTGTCATTAGGCAGCTGTAACTCCCACTATCTTCATCAACACTAGAAAACTAAAAGGGAAAGAGCAGGCACACGTGTAACATTATGGCTATAACAACACTGTTGACACAATGTCCACCATATACCCTACAGTCCCTCCTGTAGCCTGACAACCACACAAATATCAGTAGGCTAGTTAGTGTTTCACACAATTCATTTAGTCTAATTATCGGGACAAACAGTACAGGAGTAAGGACAACTGCTCGTAATTCGGGACTGTCCCGACTTTTTGCTACAATTACGCTTCACACAACTGCTGTTTGCGACCTGACCTTTCTTTTCTCCGTGAGAGGGAAGAATTTTGAAAAGTTGGGTGGCGCTGCAGGGAGCCCCCCCCCCCCCAGCTGCAGTAGTGCATGGATCATGCCTAATATATAGAGATAGAGAAGAAAGAAATGGATGACAATAAAGCATGTGGTCAATATTTTAGAGACCCCCAAAATAGCACAAATCATGCTTTCAGGGAAGCTGATGTCTTATTTAGGGGAGCTAAGCTCCCTCTGGCTCCCTGTAGTTGGCACACTGGTTATAACCTTATTACAAATTACATGTTTGCAAAATATGTATATGCAATATGTGATTCTGTGTGAATCAAAGTTCTGTATTCTTCAAGTCCCATGTACACTTGATTTCTTATTTTTCAAGAAAGATTTCAGGAGGAAAAAAAGATTGTGATTGGCACCGATCACTCCTCCCTTTGCAAGCGCGCCGGAGAAGCTACAGTCGACACGCTCTGTCAGCGGACTTGTGTTGTATGTAGATTGAAATGTCTCATTCTAAGGTATTAGAAACATAACGGTTCATTATGTAAGGTCTTAAGCCACAAAAAAAAAAATTATGGATTTTATGTTGGATTTCTGTCAATAGGTCCCCCTAAATATTACACAATTGAACCTTTCTTCGGTTCTAATGGAGTCTTTAATACTGCACATCCACAAATTGTTAAAAAATTTATACTATATAATGTGCACAAAAGCAATCAATTTAACAAAACCCGCTTATTTTAGCTTAAAGTTTAAGGTCTTTAATGAAAAAAAACCAGTGTGTTTAGTCAAAGTAGCCACTGTGATGTCACCCATTGGTTTGCTGGCTACAGTTTTAAAGCTGTAATGCAGAAAGTGCCAAGTAGAGCAGTGGAGGCAACAGGCATTTAAAATGAGACACTTCTGCATTAGCTTCGCTTTTCAGACCCAGATGTCACGTCCACTTCTTTTATAGAACCTACAGATAAGTAATTTCGATGATTCAGATGACTTATGATCAGCCACTGGAAGTCAATTTAATGTTACATCACTGCTGATCAAACGAGGCAGATAATGAGCTCATTTGTTCACAAAGAAATCAGATACAAAAAGGAAAATTCACACTAATGCTTTTATTGAATGTTGGTCAGTGCCATTATGTCAAAACATTTTATGACATGTATATTCCAGACAAAATATACTGTCTAACAGTTGGATCTTTTCATTAACAAAAATCTCTGCATACGAAGACTGAGATGGTGGGAAAATCCTCCTCTGCAGTGCAGCTTCTTTTTTTTTTTTATTTTAATGGTCAGCCTGTGGGAGGAAACAAACATTAGCCAACAGAAAACTTTTAGAGCCGATTGTCACAACTAGATCTGAATCGCTCAGACATCCAAGGAAGGTTTGGGCCATCTTTGGTCGAAAAGACCTCTGGTGGAAACTACGAATGGCAGGAAAAAGCATCATCACAGCGATTTGTACACAACTGGACTAGATTTACAAACTCAAATATATTGTTAAAATGACAACTACATACCAGGCAATAAGCACCATCACCAGTGACGCTTCCTTCGACTAGACAAGAATTATGAAGGCACTGCCTGCAGAGACTTTCTGAAAGTGACATGTAATGACAAGTTAGTTGTGAAGCTAAAAACAGACAAAGATTATAAAAAAAAAAATAACTTCTTTTAAATTCGCTCAGACATCCAAGGAAGGTTTGGGCCATCTTTGGTCGAGAAGACCTCTGGTGGAAACTACGAATGGCAGGAAAAAGAGTCATCACAGCGAATTGTGGCAAGCAGGTAAACAGATCCAGTTGGAGCTGAATTCCCTGACTAAGATGATTAGAGGTTTTAATAAGCCTTTAATCTTAGTTAAGGGCATTTACAGATTTCATAATGTAAATTCTAACATTTTTACAATTATTTACTGGTGCATTAAGTGAATTTAAGACCAGTAATAAAACCTGGCTAAAGCAGCCTTATACTCTGTTGTGCTGAAAATATGTATCAAATTATAAACTATAGTTAGTCCATAAAATACCACATTTTAAGTGAAAGTTTGAGCCGTTTAGTGAAGATAGGATAAATGTGACTTTAGTAAGTAGTACAACAACTATAAGCATGTACTAACAGGCCTTTATTTTTTATATTAACTAGATATTGTTTGTTTTTAAAAGTGAAATACATGAAATATAAAACTGTATTGTTATCAAACACTGCCTTACTGGCAATGTCTCTCGGATAGATTTCAATTTCAGTGAGCTTTTACCTCATTAAAGAAAATGCTACTTTCAGGTCCTTTACACACTGTAGCTCCCTTTAGTAGGTCCGATATACACACCTGCTGTCCTCCAAAAGGTGATTGCCTTCAAAAAAAAGGTCCTCAACCAGGATCCAGACACTCCTTTCACATCCAGTCTGAAAGGGAGATTTGAGACGTATTTTAGTTGTAGTGATATTTATAAAAAAAAAAAAAAAAAAAAAACACATTTCAGTAACATTTCCTTCAGTCGCTCAGACATCCAAGGAAGGTTTGGACCATCTTTGGTCTTTAGACCTCTGGTGGAAACTACGAATGGCAGGAAAATATGTCATCACAGCGACAAGTGCTAAGCAGGACAATAAATTTAGACTGTTGGACTCACAAGTCAACCGAGTAGCTATTGTAACAGCACACATCTTGTAATCCTACACATACACACCAGCTTCACAGGCCATGATCATCACAGTGGTTCAGGATTTCACTGGTTTCACTTTGATGGACACGAGTGCTGCTACTGAGACTTTCACCCTGAAAGTGAGATGGAGATAAGTTAGTTATGAAAGCAAAATATGTTAACGAGACACATTGCAGACTTATTGTTCGCTCAGACATCCAAGGAAGGTTTGGACCATCTTTGGTCTGCAGACCTCTGGTGGAAACTACGAATGGCAGGAAAATATGTCATCACAGCGAAAACACGCGAGCTGTTTTTCGGTGCGCTCACCAAAATACGAAACACTGCAGAAATGTCATACAACTTAAAAAAAAAGACCCACCTCTGAATACACAGGGCTGCACAGTTTAATTGTATCTAGTGAAAACCTGGAAATTTAGGTCCATCAGACCATCTCCGCTTTATGCCAACATTTAATTCTGTCAAGATTAATTATAATGAAATGTAGTCCTTTAATTTTGCTAGCTACTCACAACTTGTGATGGCATTTTTCACTTATGAAGTTTTCGTAGACTACATAAGTCATTTTAAGCCCTGTTTAAAATGTTTGGGACAACAGTGGGATTTGTTTTGGTCTTATTGTAAGAATAAGAAATATTGCACATGGGCCTGGGCATCGCATGTTGCGCTGCCCTGAGGTTGAGTTTTAATACTTTAACAGAGTCTGTAAATAAACTAATCCGCTCACCTGTTCCCAGTTTCAGTAGAGCCAGTGACTTTCTTCTTCTTGCCCTCGCATCATCCATGGTGACAGACGAGCAGCGTCTGTACGGTGTCCCTGAAGGTCATTATGCCCGGTGACTGACGCAACCCTGTTAGGACATTTCTAGTGTTAGAAAGCCAGTGAACACTTTACTTTGCAAAATAAATTCAGTCAACAACAGGTCAGTAAAGCCTGGAGGAGCCTGTCATTTAATCAAGCTTTTAAATTCAAATTGTTTCCAAAATATCAGTCTACCATAATTCAGTCTCATGTCGTTTATGAATTTTTAATCCACATCAACACTACCAGCAGTACTCTTAATTATTAACACTTAATATCATTATGAGCGGGAATCTGGGCACCTCATGATTCAGAGGGGCTGCACTGCAATTATAAAACGATTAACGCATTTCTGGATAATTACTAAGCATTAAATTTGCACATTAAAATCTAAAAGAAACATCTCCTAATTAGCGTAAAAGTTTGCATCCCTAAATTACTTCATTAACCTCAGCTCCATGGCCCCTCATTTCTTTAACAACTAGTTGTCTGACTCCTCTGAAAACTGAAATATAAATATCATGTGAAGTATGTGTACCGGACAGAGCTGTACACTAGTGTAGGCCAAGCTTGTGCCTGATGTTCTCAATGCTTGACAAGTAATGTTAAGTCAGAATGACTTACAGCTGAGCTAATTAATATTACTAACAGGATACGCAGGGAGCTGCCAAGCGTTCAGTGTTACCATGCTCGCACAGTGTGCTAGTTAAAATCATTTGTGCGTTGATATTAATGATTGTGTGATATTTTAGTATGGTGGTTATTGATTCAGCACCCGTGCTGTGCAGAATACAGGTGGAACACTGGTCTGTTTTGTGCAGGCGCAGCACTTAGGAGAGTTTCGCCTTTTGCGTTCCGTCAACATCAGGTTATCAGTTAAAATAATCATTTTTTTGAAATTTGTTAATGAGCCAGAAACTTTCACATCAGCATCATGATGCATCCAAGAATCGATTTTTTTCTCCCACTCCTACTCATTATTCACTACATTCCTGTCATTCTATTCCTTCATGAGCAATTACAACAAAATAATTTCCACTCGTGTACTAATTAACTGTTTCTGATTCTTTTGTTGTTGTTGTTGTTTTTGAATAGGTGACACACGCTCAGACATCCAAGGAAGGTTTGGACCATCTTTGGTCTTTAGACCTCTGGTGGAAACTACGAATGGCAGGAAAATATGTCATCACAGCGCAGGAGAATGCAAAAAACCCCCCAACAAATTACTTAAAATGAAAAATCAAAGTGTTTGAAGCTCTAACCTTAGGTAGACTGCAGGCAACAATGCTGCAGGCATCCTCAGCAAACAACACGGTGAAAGATTTTAAATCTGAAAGAAGAGAACAGTTAATTCAGAGTTGCATATAATACAATCTAAACTTTCTCCTCTTTAAATCTCACTGGCCATAATCGGTCACACATAGTAGTTTATGCACTTTAAATTTATTCTCAGACCATGATTATCTGACTGCAAGTTTACTATTTATATTGAACTGCAGCCTTTTTAGTGTTTTTATCTGAATTGTTCACAGCTGTGAGGAGATGTTTGGCCATCTGAAAACCTCCACGTGTTCACCTGCTGGAAACTGCAGGGACTGAAACGCTGCTGGGTTTCAGCACTTTATCTCTTGCATACTGAAAAGTTTGAAAAGAAGGTCTGAAAGCATCGGATACATCCTGAAACACCGACTCCGTATAGAAAAGTTACTTCAACACGAGTCACGAGTGACAGTAACGAAAAAATACATTAAGTAGACTTATTTTCTCACCTGATGTAACGTTAGGCTACATTTTAACACGAGGACTACTTCAATCTGCCATCGATAACTACGGCTGTTAAGAGCAGATTCACCTCCAAATTAACTGTTTGAAATACATTAAATAAAATCACCAACATTAATTCATTAAAGTAAATCGTGTCAAAGTTCTTCAGCAAAGGTTCTGAGACAATCTATGACCATCCGTTAAATAAACTCCTCATCTAAAGTAAATCTCGCCAAATTATACTCGTACATGTTGCCATTAATACGTACAAGTTTGTATTTACGAGTTAAAGTCACATTTAAAAGCATGTTTACCGTCGGAGTGAGTTTCTAAGCGACTGCTGTCTTTCTGCTCCGCAGCTTCAAATGAGTCCCGTCGTGTTTCCGCTTCTTTTTGTTCTGTCACGGCGGCATGTGAACGGTTTGCTGGCGTCGTACCGCCACCTGCTGGACCGGAGGACGAACCGCAAATGTTTACAGTACAGTAACCCTATTAAACTTATCATAAACTTCTGAGACACACAACTTAAACACACTGTTGTCACATTAAACAACTATCACTGCAGAGTGGGAGCTGGGTCATCAGCTTTCCAGATGAGCTCCTTTAATTTGGTGTTGGCTCTGAACGTCTAGCTGCATCTGTATGAACCAGGTGTTGTGGGCAGCTTTGATGCCTTTCATATAAGAATCCACCCCCAAAGTGCAGATGCTCAGTGCTACTTCAACAGGAAATTGTTTCATTCTACCCATATCTCACTCCCATCTTGTCACAAACGGACACTTTTAAATTTTTTTTTATTAATTTTTGGCCATGTAGGGCTCTGCAGTCAAGTTAGCAATAATATGCAACTTTGCAACGTCAAACCTTCCAAATAAAAGTAGAGGTTAACGGACACTACGTCCATTTTTATATACAGTCTATGTGGTTAACTAGTGGTTAACATTGTGAAAAGTCACAATTTGGATAGATTTAGGCGACAAAACTACTTGGTTAGGTTTAGGAAAAGACCGTGGTTTGGGTTAAAATAACTACATGACATTATGTAAGTTACGTTACTAAAAAAAATTATTCGTAGCCTGTACTACAGCTAGTTTTAGCGTTCAAAAATTACGCCACAGGGCTTCCCCCACTGTGTTAAACTACGCTCGAGGGATTCCCAGTGTGTTAAAAGCTGACACCAATGAGTCTTAACCATGCGTCCATATGTGACGACTTGGGAGTGATCAGGTTGCCAGATGAGCGCTATTAAACTGGTGCTCTCTCCGAACGTCAGCTGCAATTGTATTTTCCAGGGGTTGTGGGCAGCTTTGATGTCTTTCATGTATGAGTCCCAAAGTGCAGATGCTCAGTGCTACTTCAACAGGAAATGGTTTTATTCTATCATTTAGCATTGTGTGGCCACCAACAGTGTTAGACACGTGTTGGTTGTCATTTTGCCCAACATCTGCCTCAGAGATGGAAACACACTTGAGCCTGCTGAAGAGGCACCGGAGCCAGATGACGGAGGAGGTCAAGCATCGTCCAACTGCGTGGGCGACTTTGCTGCAGCTCACCAAAGCACACTCCTCCAGCTCTGCATGACCATGACTTTTATTCAAGTCAAAACTCATTTACACAACTTTCTTCGGGCAGTGTTTTATTATTAATGAAAATAGTTTCAATGCTATTGCTCTAGTATTTTACAAATAATTCCTTGATCTGTCACTTAGCTGACGCTTTTATACAAATCGACTTACAATTGCTATATTTGTCAGAGGTTGCACACCTCTGCAACAACTAGGTGTTAAGGGACACAATGAGTAGCATGTAGCTGCAGTACCGGAGGCTGCAGTTTCAGGACTGCAATCCTAGGACCGGAACTGCATTTCTAGGACCCTTGCTAGCTATGTTACTCTTGACAGCCCGCCGAAGCCTATTACCCTTACAACAACCATCACCGAGTGTGTGCCTAAACTTAGGTTAGCCCGACGCGCCTGCAGACATGGTTAACCTCCTTCGTGTTGTTGTGTATTACCACCACCACTCCACTAGATGCCGCTGTCGCAAAAGAACTACGGTGCCAGAACTGCGGTCGCAGGATTGTGGGGGTCCTGAAACTGCAGCCTCCGCTACTACAGCTACATAATGTTGGACACAATGGTGGATGTGTCAAAGTGGGGAATTGAATCCCGGGTCTCTCACATTAAAGGCATGTGTCTTATCCACTGCAGTATTACCGCCCTCTATTACCCCCAGTTATTCATAACATTATTAAACCCATTAGAAAGTCAGGCATTTTTTACATATTTGAATTTATTTTATAGATGTTAGTTCCTGGCAGTCATCCGCGTTTACCAGTTTTTGAATTGCAAAAAATAATAATCTAATATTATTAATGTAATATTTACTGTGCATCAACTATATTCTTGTATGTATTACTGTATGTGAAATAATATGTAGGCTACAATTAAAAATACATTGCAACAAGTTCTCCAACCTTAACGACAAAATTGGATATAATAGTGTAAATAGTATAATAGTGTAAAAGCGCTTTGAGTGGTCGCAAAGACTAGAAAGGCGCTATGCAAACACAGAGCATTTACATTACATTATATGTAAGCGTGTGGTTAACATTGTGAAACGGTCACACTTTGGTTAGGTTTTGGGAAACATTGTGATTTGGGTTAAAGTAAGAACATCATGTAAGTCACTTGACAAACACCATTCTCACATGTGTGAGTCCAGGGTTTGATGCATCCAACCACCCCGTCCTGCCTCCTTATGCAAACTTTCTGCCTATTTATGATACGTCACCTGACTTCCTCCTTTTCTACCGTTGGACGGCCACTAGAGGTCACTGCCATAATAAACATAAATATAGGTCGTAATAATGTGCTGCACAAACGACCCATATTGTCGTTTTTCTGGTGAGGATAGTCTCATTAATTGTAGTAATAACAAGGAGTTTGAAATAAGAAAATGGGTAAAGTGAGGAGGAGAAAAATTCCAAAATGTGATATAAAACACACAAAATAAACACCAAATCTGAACGAATGAACAATAAAAAGACATGATTTTACAATTCATTAATTTTTTTTATATTGCTCTTTATTTAATTTAAAAAAAATAGAAACAGTGATGGAAGTTAAGATATTGATACAAGTGAGATGATGAGTAAGAGAGATATTGGGATAAATAGAGAGAGAGAGAGAGAGAGACATACGCCCACACCATATAACCGACACACAGATGAGCCAATCACCTCTGTCCATTTTCTCCCTCCTCTTGCTCCATTATTGGTGGATGCCGCAGCGAGGCCCGATGGATGCTCCCCCTCTCCCTCCCTCCCCCTCTTTCGCCCCCTCCTCAGTCTGCTGCTGCTGCTGCTGCTGCTGCAAGCTGCTGGTGTTGCCGTGACGATGATATCCTCCCTCCTCCCACACACACACACACACACAGCAGAGAGGAGAGGAAGCAAACAAGATGCTATCATGACGCGATGGCTTGAGGCTGGAAAACACACACACGCACACACACTGATCGCCTGCGTCTCAGGACAACATGGTGAGTGCTGGCTGTCTTTTTTTTGGGTGGGGAGGTGAGAGGACAGAGGGATGGGTGGATGGATGGGTGGATGGATTGATGGATGGATGGAGGAATGTTTGGGGATGACAGCAGCATCTGTAGCATGCTGTGCTTTCCTGAGAAGAGAGAGAGGGATGATGGAGGGAAGAGTGGAGAGAGGAAAGATGGAGAAAATGAGGATGGACAGATTACAAGATGAACGAGGATGGAGGATGAATTAATGAACGCAGGCACAGACTGATCCACCTCAGCTTTAGTGTGTGTGTGTGTGCTATCAGGCCTGCATGTCCTGCACGTTAGCATCCTGAGTGCTAACTGTAACATGAGGTACGTCACTTCTGTAAACCGAAACTGGGCTGATCCCCCCTGTTTTTTGCAGCTATGGATGGATTATTGAATAGACATCCCAGTAACACAGCCCAGGGTCCCAAAGAGCGTTGGGACACTTAGGCCAGAGCCTCTGTATGAAGCTACAGTTAATATTTCTTTTTGGAAAGTCATGCAAACGATTATAAAGAGATGCAAATTGACCACAGGCACAAAGAACCATATAAAAAAGAAAAACACCATGAAGAAATGCAAAATGACTAAAAAGAGGTGCAAAAAAACTCCAACTCCAGCTATGATCCTTAAAATATCTGGCTCTCTAGTCGATAAATTCTCCAATTTGATCACCAGCTAGTGTCTAAACAGCCCACCCTCACAGCTGTATGGGTCGATTATGCAGCAGTTTACTATGACCCATATTCACATTCTTTGTTAGGCCGCTACCAATAATGACAGAAGAAGTCAGGTGACGTATAAAGAGTGAACTTATTTTAAGCCAAACCATGTTCTTTTCCTAAACCTAACCAAGCAGTTTTGTTGCCTAAACTTAATCAAACTACCACCATTTCATGTTTACCACGTGTTAAAGGTCATGTGACTTTTGTAACGTACTTAAGATCCTGTAAGCCAGTCGCTGGACCATAAGTACAATGCTAAAATGTTTCTGGGAGTGTAAAACCCCTTTTAAAATCTTTAATTTGTCACATCACCAAAAGAAAAATGAATAAGCTAGAATACCAGCTACAAAGGAGAGAGAGCGGGTCAGAGACCTGCAGAAAGACAGAAAGAAATATAGAAACAGAGAGACAGAGTGACCATGAACCTTCCCATGGGAATATATTGTATGAAGATAAAGAGGTCAGATTACCAGTGTGTGTGTGTGTGTGTGTGTGTGTGTGTGTGTGTGTGTGTGTGTGAGACGTCACAGGAACTGGTCTTTAGGAACTGGTCTGACTCTTACGGTTCTACAGTTTAACTCTGATTTATTCTGATTGAGCAGAGTGCAAACGATGCAGGAGTAAATTATTTTTATATTTTTATTTTATATTAATATTATTATGTACATGACGGAGGTGGATGTGATATACAGGTGCACAGACACATACATGTACACATGTAGACAGTGTGATGGAGCATAGTGCAAAGGATGCTGGAATAAATAAGTATTAGGTGCAGTGTTATGTACATGAGTTAGGTGGATTTGGTATACAGCATACGCAATATACAATGTACAATATGAACCGTAAGAACAGCTCTGAAATAGAGAATGATGAATAAATAAGTGGTAGCCAGTAAACAGGTGGCTGATTAGAGGAAGAATTACTGGGTTATTGCACAGGAATTGTTCCTGACACTGTGAGTCAAAAATCAGCTGTTCATCAGAGTGATGGCTTGTGTTCCTGAGTCTGTTGGTTTTGGCGTACAGTGCTCTGTAGCGCCTACCAGAGTGGAGAAGCTGGAACACATTGTGTCCGGGGTGAGATGGATCTGCACTGATGTTTCCTGCCCGTTTCCAGACTCTGGAAATGGAAAAGTCCTGAATGGAGGGCAGGTTGGCACCGATAATTTTTTCTGCAGTCCTGACTGTCCGTTGCAGTCTGCTCCTGTCCTTTTTGCATTCCTCCCACATAACACACAACAAGAAGCACAAAGAGTATGTACAAAATTACCAGAAAAGTATTCCAAATATGATTTTTGTCTATTGTCTTTATCGATACACCAGGTCACAACCAAAAGTTGTAGCTTTGTGAGGCTGGACTTTAAGCTCTAAACGCTAACGTCAGCATGCTAACAAGCTCACAATGTTGTGCATGCTGATGTTTAGCAGGTAGAATTTTCTAATTGTCTAGCGCTTAACACTGCGTGCAACTGAGGCTGATGGGAATGTCATTAGTTTGATAGTATTTTGCCATAAAACTAAGTATGATGGCACTAAATTCATTACAACTTATCCTGAGGGGAACATAAATATTTCCACCAAATGTCATGGTAAAATATTTATCTTGACTAAAGTGGTTAAATGATCAAAAAAGACTATTAAGTAATCCAACCACTTGTGTTGTGTTGTTTTTCAGCACGGCAAGCTCCAGCAGGTCTCCAGCAGGGCTCCAGCAGGGCTGAGGCTGCATGTATGAGCATCTCTGTCATTTAGAGCTACAGAGCAGTTGACTTTCCCTCAATGAATTAAAAGCTGCAGTACAATAAAAATGAAATACATTAAGGTTCAGTGAATAAATCCTGCACTGCTGAGAGCCAGCAGAACTTTATAGCACATCTGCAGAGAACATTAAACTGGGCACATCAATGTGGCAGGGCAGTAAATACACACACATTATTATTTATATTATACTTAACATGCCTGTGAGGGCTAAAGCCGAGAATTAACCCTCAGACAGCTCTTTGAAGAAGTGAGGATCAGAAATATAGGAAAACAAGAAAATGTAAAAAGAAAAAGGTTGTATCAAAAGTAGTAAGTAGTCACATGCAAGTGAACTGTGCAGAGGATTGCATATTTACATTGTACTTCTGACTAACTTAAAGTGTCTGAGAGTATTTTTAGGGGGCTTTATCAAAGAGTGTCATGTGCAGCAAGACGATAACAACAAAATACAGGAGAAAGCAACAGAGAATAAAATACTATGAATGTTTTCAGCAAATCTACATTTTGCCTTGTTTTGATTCATTCAGTGTTATGTTCTGTGAGCCATGAAAATATAAGTATGGTGCACCTGTGTACAGTGCAGCTAAACAAACTGACATTGTTTTAATAAGATAAGATTCAAGAAGTTCGTCAATTATCAGTCTTTTTCCATCGTGTACCGAGCTTGGTCTGATTTCATGCACAGGACATGACAGTAGTTTTCCACGCAACAGCAGGAGTTGTGCAGCCTGTCACCTGCAGCTGTTCATCTAACAGCTCACTGTGGCTGCTCCTCACTCTTCTTTTACTCCCTTGCAAAAAATAAAACAATTATCCTCTGAGTAAAAAAAATTGAAAGGTGTATTTTTGATGAATGATTGCATCCTGTGCCAAACTCAATGACATACTTTGCCTTTTCTGCGACTGCTTCACAATAAAAGCCGCCTAATGTTTCTGTAGTTGAACGCTTTTAAAGCTGGGGTGGGTAACTTTGGAGAAACTAGCAAGAGACAAGTTTATGAAAGTATCCAACAGTCAAGTCAAGTTAATTTATTTATCAAGCACATTCAAAAACAACCACTGTTGAACAAAGTACTGTACAAAGTTATGCAATTAAAACAACAAAAATATATATTTTTTAAACGGATAAAGACGGAATTACGATTATAAAACATGCTACAATTTTGAAGCATGCAGCCATAAACAGAAACATGCAGCAACCAGGACAGTGAATGATGGATGTCCCTAGACTGACTCGAACACCAAAGAATAAAAATGCGTTTTCAGACGAGACTTAAAGGTCTCAGGGGTTGGGGATGATTTAATGAAAATGGGAAGTTCATTCCACAACCTTGGGGCCACTACCGAAAAAGCACGATCAGCCTTTGTTATGGGGTTAGGGTTATAAATTATACTGCATTACATGCTGCATTGTTTCCTGTCAATCCCTCATAGGTGTGAAAGCAATGTGCATCCAGTCCAAGTACACACAGACACATATAAACTTATGCTTGGACATACAGACCCTCAGCAAACTCAACCACACAATGGCCAGCAAATATCTCTGTGATGCCACATAACATACACATCAATTCAAAATATAGACGAATAGATGAATTTATATTCTGTAGAGAGAGAAAGAAAGAGAGTGTTCATTTGTCTCGCTCTCTGTAAGTGACAGTTACAAACAGTCACCAGTGTCACAAGGCCCAGAACACACACACACACACACACACACACACACACACACTCACACACCCTGCAAATAGAGCCTCACTGTCGCCCCGTAATCCATTGCAGCACTGTACTGCAGAGAATCCTTGAATGAAAGGTGGGGGTGTAGCAATTCTGCATGTCTTTGTGTAAATAAATATTTGTCTGTCTGAAAAAAAATAAGATTATATGTTATTTGCATTAGAGAATGAAATCAAAACAGAAAATATCAGAGAAAATAAGTTATCTTTGTGTGTGTGTGATAAGCTTGTGTGTGTCAGACAGACGTACAGTGTGTGTTTGTCTGTGTTAGACTATGTTCATGTCGGAAAGGTTGTGTAGTCTGAGCAGAATACTTGGGGGGAGGAGGTGTTAAAACAGGATTATGTACAAGATCACAGGGAACTCATATCCATAATCCCTCCCCTGTATAAATTATTCATAAGAATATTCAGATCATATTTTACACACAGATATTGTAAAAACACAGACTGGAAGAGAGACATGAAGCACCAAACCAGGAATAAAAGGCACAACGGATAAGATGGAGAGGAGAATGACAGACAGGCAGACGTCAGAGACTACCTGTCTGTCATCAGAAGTTATTCACCCAACATTCACACAGCAGAGCTTCATCATAACTTCTACATTTCTGCTCTTATCTGTGTTTTTAATGACTCTAGCCTGTAGTGAAGTTACAGCAATCTCAAAGAGAAAGAAAACAAATGGGACTGTGATGTGCATAGAAGACATTTAACATTTTTAACCACCTTTAACAACATTATAATTATAATCTGTTTTTATTATTTACCATTTTTAAACAGTAATGTAATTGAATATGTTATTTTAGTATTTTAGTGAACCATAAAATAGACAAATAAAAAATACATAAGAAAATTTAAAAAAAAAATAGTCTTAATGGCCACTTTATAGGGTAAGGCAAGGCAAGTTTATTTGTATAGCACAATTTAACAACAAGGTAATTCAAAGTGCACCTGTAAAATGCACCTGTAAAATCTAATGTAACCCAATACCAATACCCTAATGTTTGTAAACTGGGTAGGCAGAACAGTTAAAGCAACACTTAATAATAAATACATAGTCAAATGTTCAAAACTGAACATTATATTATATTTCATTATATATAAAGGCAGACTTTATTGCTGAGTAGTTGCATTGGGTTGCACAAAAACAAAACAATACACACACACACACACAAAAACGCAGTAAAAATTTAAATTAAAATGTTTTATTTAATTGAGTGACATTTCCACCTCTCAGCCCCACATCTGCAATGAGCACTTCTGCAGAATGTGTCCAGTGCAGCGTACATTTCAGCTAAAGTTGACTTTAATTAATCAGGCTATTTCTTTTTCTCCTTCCTGTTGGACCTGTCAGACACATGTCTCAGGCTCCATGTGGTCCAGATGAGGCAGGTTTTCGGTGTTCATACTGATCCCACATCATCTGTGTGTCGCTCATCGTTGTGCTCTGTGAAGCACACAGACTGTTAAATATAGGATTTTAGGAGTAAAGGTCCCCTGACTACTTCTCTTTTTGTTGTACCTCTTCTTCACCCCTCCCCATGCAGTCTGTTGCCGTGGAAACCACAGCCTCACTCCCATCTCTCTCTCCCTCTTTCCGTCACTTTGAAGACATTTCTGTGACCTACATTACAGCTCCTAGAAGCGCTGTGTTAGCATCTTACTCTTTGTTCACGTCTCACTGTTGGTCCTTCATGCTGCACAGCTCTCCTACCCCCCCATATGTGGATCGTACCATCTGTTCCTGTACCTGCTGCACATGTTCCCCACTACGGAATATACCATTTGGGAATTAATTAGGGGTGTGAGGAGATCTACTGCACCATCTGGAAGGAACATATGGGAATTCCTATAGTGGGGAAGACTGGGAATGTTTGCGTGTTGAGGTCCACTGTATAGTCTTCTGTGTCTCTAAGCCAAGTCACAGCAAGAATCAATGACAAACATTATGTAGTCTGATCTCGACATTAGACAACAGTCAGTTAAGGGAAACACCCTGGAGGAAATACAGGTTGGGGGTTTTCCCATTCCCTTCAATACAGAGTTCTCTTGGAGTACCATCTAGTGGTGTTTAAAAGAACTGCAACTTTAGACACACTGACCTTTCATAGTGATACAGTACTACTTGGGCTGACCCCCAATAGTCAAAGACTTGATGCTTCGATGGACTGATTCGACCGTCAATCTCACAGTCAAAGCTTTGCAGCGAAACAAGGATCATGGCACTTTGGCGATATGGGGGTGCTCAAAGTCTGATTTTACATAGAACTACCAGTTTTCTCCCAATAAATTAATATAAAGCCTATTAAAAATACATTTCAATGTTTAATGCTGTAAATAAACATGTAAAAAGAATAAAACTTTCAATAAATGTTTTTAAAGTGCGTAAAGAAATCCAAAATTGTAACCCTAACCCTGGGTCGTCAGTGCGTGTGTGTGGTGGCAGAAGAGGAACAGTTGCTGAAGACACGGAGCCCCAGCTTCACTAGTGTTGTGCAGAGTTGTCCGCCCCTCGCGGGACTTTCGGATAATTTATCACTGTTGATGAACCACAGAAAGAATATTTTATTGTTTTTAAATAGCCGGCTGCTTGAAATAGACCCGCGAGGAACAACGACGTGCATGTAGTTGTCAGCAGCATGAAATGCACGAAAAACTCACACAAGACCAGTGAATGACAGGCGAGAGAGAGAAAAGGGTCGTCAAGAAGCCTCAGTTTAAAGCTGGAAATTTAGTGTATCAGTGTAAGTTGAATGAATAGAGACTGCAGATCTGCAGCTGCTCAAGATTAAAGCGGAGCTACCGTGTGTCCTCGATCGCCGCGAGTGAATTTTGATTCGACTATATAAATCCTTAGTCGGGGACAGCCCTAGAAACTACATTTGAAAATGAACCTCAACTACCTGGTTGTGTATTTCATTTCACTTTTACATGCATCATAAATTAACAACATCCAGAATTATGTAAACATTTTAGATATCTCACCTTTTCCTGTCCCATTGTGCACAGTAAATTCTCCAGAACAAACAGCAAATACTACCTTAAATCATTAAACTGATGTACACAGCCAAGAGTAAAGAGCAGAAGTTTTTTCCCCAACATGTTTATCTACTTTTCCACCTAATCCTCATGCCTCTCTTTTCTCCCCAGGACTCATGGAGGCTGTCCTCAGTTTGAACCCTCTGTGAATTAAATGAACACAAAATCAGACCTAAAGAGGATTGACATTTTTGTGTTTCAAGAGAAATATATTGCTCTGGGAAGAGACAATACAAGGAAGCAGAAGGACCTTTTAAATGGAAAATCAGTAGTGCTTTGGATGCCTGGAACCTCTTTTAACCAACAGGAATGTAATGGAATAAAGTACACTGAGTTTGACTGACTGCAGGCTCAAACAAAGGCCATGTCTGAAATGTAAGCCCCCCTTTCTTCTTGCTGCAGAGAGATCAAGAAATGACCGCTCTGACAAAAGTGTACATTTGATTTTTCAGCACTCTTTTTCTGGGTGCGGAAAAGTCCTGCAAGCAAGGCAATTTGTGGAGGTTTATTCCCTCAGATTTGACTGCAGCCTTCAGAAAGGAGCGTGTCTGAATGTCTATCCCCTCCTCTTGGCTGCAGAGAAAAATTACGTTGACAGCAAAAGCCGTGCCTCTCCCAAGATCCAACATGTGCCAAGAGTTTTCATAAGGAGTTCATTTGAATGTTTTGCCCCTTCCTTTTGCATGGACAATGGAATAAAGTGTGAAACAACGAGTTTACAAAAGCAAACAATACAGACAGTAGGAAACCTTGTATCTGAACATCTAGCCCCTTCCCCTGGCTTCAGTGTGGAATAAGGGGTGTGTTCGGAGGTTCACACCCACCAGGCTGCCTCTCGCTGATGGAGGCCCACCAACACTCCCCAGATAGCAGCAGTGAGGAGTGCACCGTCCTGGAGGCTCCGCCCGGCAAAAACGCCTGCCCGCAACATGCAGGGAAGGTAGGAATGCAGCACACAAGGGGCTCATTGTTCTCATTGAGAAACTCTGTACAGTCATGACCTGTGAATACCCTGTATAGATCCCTTATATCACGCTCAAGGTTTGTGAGCATGTAAACAATTCAAAACACACACGACAATCAAACTAATACATGCATCAGTAACCAAAACCTTGAAAGTAATTTTCCATTCACGTCTTTTCAAAAATCCAACTATCAGAACTTGAGTTAGCACAAAAAGATGATTGTTTGCTACCTGACATTGTGTTCTGCACAGGGCAAAAGAACCCACACCCTACCTACATAAGTTTTTATTCTACTGAACCAGACTGGAAACCCTTTATAATGAAACGCTTTGCTATACTTCCTCCATTGCAGACAGTAAGCTACACGTACTGGCTGCATTTAATCACTTTCCTCTTCCTACTGGGGATAGAATATCCTTTTGCACCATATGACATGCAAGCATGTCAGATTCATGTAGAGTCAGTCAGAGCAAAAAAGACATTTGAAATTACATTTGAAAACCAATCAAACCACCTGGAACTCTTTCTGAACCTGTTGAGTTTGGTTTGGGTAGCAGAACTCTGCCACAACCTTGCATTTCAGTGCAATGAGAAGAATTTGTTGCCACCTAAACCATTTAACTTTTATTATTTTGGCACTGAATCAGTATCAGACGAATCAGAATCAGAAGGAGCTTTAAGGCCAAGTAGTGTTTTACACATACAAGGAATTTGCTTTGGTGATAAGGTGCTACACGTAGACAAACATACAGTTGACATAAATAAATATGGAAATATATAAATATGGATTAGACAATGCATGTTATATAAGAATAATAAGAGAATAGAGAAAAATAATACAACTATTTGCAGAGGAAAGACGTGTTTCAATGGTATTGTGTACATATACAATATAAATTGACAATATAAAAAATATACAACAACAAAGATTAACAATTGACAACAAATATGTGCAGTGTGCCAGGTTTGTGCGTGATATGAAATGAAATAATATTTACATGTGCAGAAACATTCCTATCATTTGCAAGGGGGAGGGGGGGGGAGGGGGGGCTAGTTGCAGATGGGAAGGAGTGTTTTTGTGGCGAGAGGTTTTGGTCCTGATGGACTTGTCTGCTCCACACACAGTATTCGGTCAGCCAGCATGCGCTGTGTGTCATGTTTGTATGCTAAAGCATTAACTTAGCATTAAGACAGGAAACTGTCCAAATTTAACTAAATCTGCCTACCAGAACCTCTAAAGCTCACTAATTAACTTACTACATCCGGTTTATTTAATCCATATGAAAACCAAAGAGTAAAAACAACGGGTTGCTGTTTTACAGAGGTTATGTACCGGACTATTTGGGCGCCATGATTTTTCTGTCTCAGCTGGTTACCTGGCACCCTCAACTGACATCAAGACTCCAGGAAGTCATTGTGTGTCCAGGAGGTGAAATTGCAAATCCTGGTGTCCAGCAATGTAACTGTACTTAACAACTTACCACAACAGAATCTTAGTGATCTTGTTATCTAACTCTCAGCAAAAAAACAAATGAGCGTATTTCCCAAAATTGTTAACTTAACTTGTGATCCGAACCTGACCTTTGTATATGAGCTATATTCTTGCTTTATTTCATACATTAGTTACAGTTAACTATACTGACTGGCTACACATGACAAGCAAGACTGACAAGTACGAGAAAGAGAGAAACATCTTAAAAATATGATGCTCACCTTGTCATCTGCAGGTGGCAGAGCTGTACTGTTCAGCCTGTGAGTGTGCGCTTTGTGAGGACTGTGTGTCGGACCATGAAGAGCACCCTAAGGTGCCCCTCAGCCAGGTCCTGGAGAAGCACCGCAGCAGCCTGCAGGAGAGGCTGGAGGCCGTCCAGAACAGGTAGAGGTCTCAGTGAATGTGGTTAAGACAAACTGAAAGACTGTATTTTTGTAATCAGGATAATATGGTAATGTAAATCGTAAAGGGATGCTTGGTTTTGTTTTCTTTATGCTGCCTTTAACTCATGTATGAAATTTATAATAACTGTAATGTCACTGTTATGTCTACAGTTTAATATTTCGGTGGTTTAATTTGTACATATATCCTGTAGGGGATCTATGATTAAACAAATGCCTAAAACTCCTCAACTGGGTCCTTTCGACGCAAAGGAGTGTTGTTTTGTATACAAAATCTCAATCTGCAATGTAACTAACTTTTGATATTAAAATTATGTAGGAATCAGAGAGGACTAAAAATGATTCACTCTGAAATGTTTTGGAATCACATAAAAGGTAAATGCTCGAGTAAAGTACAAGTACCTCTAAACTCAAAATGTACTTAATTACATTCCACCACAGCATAAGGACACACAGGGAATACAGCGGCACAAGTAACTAATGAGAGACAGTTAATGGAGTGAACAGGAGAAGCTGACATCTGGTGGACAGGCAGGGAAATACAGGACCATGGAGCATCAAGCACACAATGACAAACACGTGCACAGCGTGTCTTGCGTTCTCATTAGCAATTTATCAGGATGCAGAGGTCAGAGGGAAACACTGACATTTTAATTCAGAAATAAAGGAAATCATTAACATATGAACATTTAATATGGTAAACAGGATTACAGAGTATTCCTAGGTGTGCACCGTGTTGATATTGTTTTTCAAATGAATGAGAAACATAGAAAGAAATTAAAGGTTTTGGCTTCACCGTTGAATCCCCATTCCCTCTATCTCTCCAGGCTCCCTCAGATTGCAGACGCCCTGTCCTTCGTTAAGGAGATCCTCCAACAGCTGACCAATCAGAGAGCTTCCATTGAAGAAGACATCCAGTCGAGCTTCGAGGACCTGCACAAGCAGCTGGATGTGCGGAAGAGTGTCCTGCTGATGGAGCTAGAGGTCACATATGGACTCAAACAGAAGGTGCGTACATGCTTTCACGTTTGAAAGGGTCGGTTGATTTTGGTTGTCTGGCAAAGTTTCAGAATGAAGAATCTTTTATGGTTATAAAAGTAGAGCCTCTCTTGACACTGGGCTACTTTACAAAATAGAAAACTTCAGACACATCTATTAGTGTTGCAGTCAAGACAGCACAAACCGAGACCAAGTCAAGACCAAGACCAGAGTTTATAGAGCCCGAGACAAGACCAAGACTTTTAGGGGCTGAGTTGAGACCAACACCAAGGGAGGGCGAGACCGAGTCAAGACCAAGACCAGTTCCCCACATTAGATGACACAATCAAATGTGGAACGAGATCATAGGTACTTCTCAAATTGATCTGAAAGATCCACATTCCCATTAAAACGCCCACATACAAACACTCAATCAATGTAAGCATCTTTATTCAACACTCCTTTTCCATGTTCAACATCGCGGGGAGGGGTGACAGTCGTTAACGGGAACAACAGATTTTTAATTAGGGTTATTGGTTGCATTTGAAGCAACACGTTTTACATCAAAGTTAGAATGTTAACAAATAAATCAGACAATGCAAAAGCAATTTATTGATATTCCCAAAGTTATGGTCTTGACTGGTCTTGAAATAAAATCCAGAGTCCTCAATGTCCGAGACCGAGACAAGACCGAGTACAAATGCGGTCAAGTCCGGGACAAGACCAAGACCATCAAAAGTGGTCTTAAGACCGGTCTTGAGTACTACAACAGTACTATCTATCATTTGTCTCCAGGTCCTCCAGGCCCAGGTGGACAGCCTGATCCGAGGAGAGGGAAACATCATGGCATCCTGTACTCAGACTGAGGAGGCTCTGGCTGGGGAGGCATGCGTGGCTAGCCTGCAGTTGGAGCGAGAGCTGCAGGAGAAGCTTGTGGAGCTAGCTGGCCTCGGCATGCCGTGCCAGCCTGAGGAGAACGATCAGCTGGATCTGGTGATGGAGACAGACGGGCTAAGGAAGTCCATACACAACCTGGGGACCATCGTCACGACCAGGTGAGACCTTAAAAACAATTTTTGCATTAAAAACCATGTGTTCCACCCTCTTCAACCTTGTCTTCCTCCGCTTCTACAGTGCGGTTGCAAGCCAGAGCGAAGCCATGGGCGTGGGCCTGGAGCAGTGCGTTGTGGGACATCCTGCCTCTGTCACCATAGTGACAAGAGATAAGTCAGGAGGAGCCTGCAAGAGTGGCAACGCAATTCTTTCAGCTGAGGTTCATTTTATGCCCCCTCTCAAATAAAATACAGTGCAATTCTGTGTACAAATTCACAAACAATGACTTAACATTACCTGTGTGTTATTCCAGGTATTCACCCCAGATGGCAGCATAGTGGACGGTGAAATAGTGGACCACAAGAATGGGACATATGAGTTTGTGTACATAGTGCCGAAGGAAGGCGACTTCTCATTGGCTCTCCGTCTCTATGACCAACACATCAAAGGAAGCCCCTTCAAACTGACTGTCAGCAGGGTCCTAGAGGCAGAAGTAGAGGTGTGTGTGAGTGATGAAAGTTTGGAGCTTTGTCTTAATTTTCAGAACAAGGGTAAATGTTTACTTTCAACTTGGTCAACACTTGGACAACTATGGGCCGAATTCCCATGTCAAGTCAACATAAAGGTTTTTAACAAGTTTTGTAATTGAAATGAAACTTGACTTTATTAAAATGAGCCTACCCCATGTGTGGTCACAACAACAAGCTTGGGAAAAGATGTACTATACAGTTTCATGGTACATGCACATGAACTGAAACATCTAAAATTAATTCTTGTATGCAATGTATTCCCCCTCCATCGTTGTCTTTCCAGGTTTCCCCCTCCACCACCACAGCAACCAACTCAGCAGCCTATGCCACCCCGTCCACCGGCTCCTCTGAGGGGGCAAAGAGACGAGGGAAGTCCCCTGGCCAGAAGAAAAAGGGCTCCAAAAGGGCCAGCAGCGCCCTGGGCACCCCACGACGCAAAACCCAGAACCCTATTGAGGATGACCTCATCTTCAGAATCGGTGAGACGTTCATCTGAGGAGAATAATGCAGATAAACCAGGAGATTTGGGTGATTCAATTATTACAGCTATTGAAGCTAAAGGTATTATAAAAGATATAACATGCATAATTTCTCAAAAGAATATATAGATATTTTGATGCTTGGATTTGTGTTCATTGCTATACTATAACAAAAAAAGGGAAGTGATAGGTGTGAAAATGCCTAGGGTTCAAGGGTTTATTATCCTCACAATGAAACAATAATTCAATTCAAAAAGGTCTTAACTAAAAGTGGCTTACCTGACCAGTCGGCCCAGTCCAAACCATGATTTCAAGGAACTGAGGCAGTTAAAGCCTCAGCAGTCTGACCATGTGTAGGACAAAGGTTGGTGCAAAAATTACAGATGAAACCAATATTACTGTACACCCACAATTAACATGTCTAAAAGAACAATGACAGCCAGAGCAGATGCTTGAAATTGATTTCATTTTTCCTGTTCTCTGCAGGAACGAAGGGGAGGAATAAAGGAGAGTTCACAAACCTTCAAGGAGTGGCTGCCTCTTCCAGCGGCAGGATCCTGATTGCTGACAGCAACAATCAGTGTGTCCAGGTATAGCATACTTTGTCCGGTCCTCATTTCTTCTTATGGCTGTCTGAGAGTTCAAATTGGTTTTAAGGTTAAAGGTAAATTTAGTTGTTGATTTAGAAGCTAAAGTATGCACACAAGGGTCCTCACATGTCTCCCCACTTCAGATTTTCTCCAACGAGGGTGAATTCAAGAGTCGTTTTGGGGTGCGGGGACGGTCTCCGGGACAACTGCAGCGTCCTACGGGCGTAGCCGTGCACCCCAGCGGTGACATCATCATTGCCGACTACGACAACAAGTGGGTCAGCATCTTCTCCTGTGAGGGCAAGTTCAAGGTAGGTGCCTTTTGGTTTTAAGGGATAAAGGTTTACTGTTTATATATTTTGTTTCATTTGATTTAATTGAGAATCAGTTTAGAAGAATAAACCATATTTAACCTGTCAAGGACAGCTGGTAGATTTTCTAATGCAAAAAAACAATTTTTTTGTGTTTTGTTTAATTGTTCTTTCTTCTTGCTGCTTGTATTTGGCGTCCATTAGGCGAAGCTTGGCTCTGGGAGGCTTATGGGGCCAAAGGGAGTGTCCGTCGACCAAAACGGTCATGTGATCGTGGTTGACAACAAAGCTTGCACTGTCTTCATCTTCCAGCTGACGGGCAAGCTCATCACCAAGTTTGGTAGTCGCGGCACCGGTGACAAGCAATTTGCAGGTAGGTAGATTTGTTCACAGAAAGAGACTGTCCAGAAATGAATAAAAAAGCAGCAAGAATAAGTCAGTATACAACCACGCCAGTCTGGAAGGTTTTATAGACTGAATGTTCATCGTCCAGTTAATTTAAATCACACATATTACCAATATTACTTTCACACATGCAGTTACTTTATCATTTGACTAAGAGTGTTTTAGAAGGAAATGTATGTGTGCCTGACCGCATGTGCGGTTCAAGTTTAGGTCACTTTAAGACGCTGAAGTTTCATCCCTGAAAGCTGTTAAAGTGTCAGTGTAAGTGTAAGTCTTAGATGAAGTGTTATCACTGAAAGCAGTTACATGTTAAATGTAAGCACTTACACCAGCTGGTATACCATTTAAAGTGTGATGAATAAAAACAGTTAAATTGTGAGATTAAGTGCAAGCTTTGAAAGCAGGTGAAGTGCCCATTGAAGTCACTGTCTAATTACTGAGTGCCAGTTGAATTGCTCACACAGTTGAAGTGTTGAATTACGTGTAATCAGTAAAAACATTTAAAGTGTTACCTATAAGCTGTGAAATGAGTTCAAATATAAGATGAAGTACACACTAAGTACTGAAAGCGTACGTGAAAGTGCTAGCGGAAGCACTTAAAGTACAACCTGTTTTTATTGTTTCTGTGCCACTGTCCTGAAGGTCCGCACTTTGCAGCAGTGAACAAGAACAATGAGATTATTGTGACTGACTTCCACAATCACTCTGTCAAGGTAAAGCCTTATTGACTGAACATAAACACATATATCCTTTGCTCTATTTGGAATGAAATGAAAACTTTAGACAAGTGTTATCCAGGTGAATAGGTAGATATTTCATTTGTTGCTTAAGGACACATTAACAGGACACATCACATGAATATGGATCCTGATATATTTCTGTTTTTCTGTTCGGTTCAGGTTTTCACCCCAGAGGGAGAGCTTGTGTTGAAATTTGGCTCTAACGGTGAGGGAAACGGCCAGTTCAATGCTCCCACTGGTGTAGCTGTGGACATTAATGGGAACATCATCGTAGCTGATTGGGGCAACAGCAGAATACAGGTACAACAGTGCTGTGCAGTACTTGTCGACCTGTAATGAAAAGAAGCCCCTTCTTGGGACTTTTTGCAATTATCAAAATACATTTTCTGTCTCTGCTCCAACATTTCCAGGTGTTTGACGGTAGCGGCTCCTTCCTATCCTACATCAACACGTCAGCGGACCCTCTATACGGACCCCAAGGAATGGCTCTGACCTCAGATGGACATGTGGTTGTGGCCGACTCTGGCAACCACTGCTTCAAAGTCTATCGCTACCTACAATGATGGAGGCTTGTTTAGAGAAACGAAGCATAGGAAGGAGAGAAGGATGGAGGGAGCAGTTGTTGACGTGGAGGAATAAGGTGCACGATGTCAAATTCTAGGAATTATTGCATGAAACTCTGCTGCCTGTAACAATGGAAGACGGGATGGATAGAAAAGAGGAAGCAGTAAAGAATAAGCATTATCCATCATTTCATCGTTAGACCACAATAAAAATATGATCTCGACATCTTTGATGATTTTGGTGGAAATAAGATCACCATAAAATGAAATAGTGGATTGCATAGGATGGCGGGATAAAAACTGGTCTTTGAACCTCAACATCTTAAAGTCTAAAGAGGGACGAGGATAACAGCAGATAAGGAGGAACAGATGATGGAAGAATTTGCTGCCTTCATGAAAATCTGAGCAATATCACAGAACAGGATGCAGGAGTGATGCGAGGCTGGACTAAAAACAGTTATGCAACGACTGGCTAATGATGTCAAGTTCATCAAATCCCTCTTTCTCCCAGGTTGGCATTAAAATGAAGAAGTGGATGAAAAAAGGCTTTAAACAGAAAGGAAGAACAAATAAATGTTGCAAGAAGGAAAGGAAAGGAAAAAGTTTTTGGTAAACCACTGCTTCCTAAACCCATCATGGAATGAAGGATGGATAAAGGGATCAAAGAAGTATGAAAGGCATGAATGAATAAATAAAAGCGTGTGTTTTGGAGGGAATGTATTGGAAGTTTAAACATTTTCAATATTCTGCCTTTTCATGTTGTATTTAATAGACAAAATCATGGCTAGTGAGCTAAAAGTGGTCAATGTCTTGATTTCAGATCATTTGTTTCTCCAGGTCATTACCACAGATTTCCCCTATGACATTTGGAAGTTAACACTGACTCTTAGAGCTCGACAGGGTGCCCTCGAGCAAATAACTTTGGTTGTACTGGGAAACTCCCAGCAGCAAATGTGCAAGTAAATATGGAGCAAGGAATTACCTAAAAAGGGTGCCCTTGCCCCGCCAAATTTTGATTGACTATATCTTTGAATGGAGATGTGTTGAAAACACTCACATTGATGGTCATGAAAATAACATTATTAGACTATGACAGGGGCCACTTTTAGCCTGTTGTCCATTGCTTGTACATTAGGATTGTCTGAATATGGAATGTTTGTTTTGTTTCTTGCCATATGCTAGTATTCTTTACAAGTCTTAAGCGATAGATCATCATTATAAGTGATTGCTTGCCTCTGATTCTGATTGTCTGAATGATTGATTCATTTGTCTGATTGACAGAGTAGCTCTGATGGGCAACTTTGTCTATCCGTGCTTGTGTTAATTTATTTTTCCTGAGAAATCTGTTTCAATGACAAAAAAAAGAAGTCTATAAATCTATCCTATATATTTGTGAGAATACCTTTAATAATACCATGTAAAATTGTTCAATTCAATTAACAAGTTTGGAATCAGTAACATTTTTACACACTCGTTTCCGCTCGCTGTCTCTGTAGCGAAAAACAAGACGCCTGGGGAGGAATTGTGAGTGTTCAGATTTATTCTGTCAGTGCCAAATCTGTACCACCAGCAAGATCCGTTTTGCACATGCGCAAAAGGTGGTCCTGTCTGCCAAAGAAGGTTACTACAAATGTGCCTGTTCATAATTATCCGTGTGTTGCTGTCTGTTCTCATCTCACGGCGTCAAATACTGACGCTTTCAGAAAGGCTAAGCAAGCGTTATGTCATGCAAAAGGTACCCTTCAGCGTCCGTATACGTCTGAATGAGACACCCTGTCTAGACCAGAAGCGTTAGTAGCTTCCCAAAGCACCTCACCCTAACCCTAAACATCACAGGGGTGCCTAAACCTAAGTCAGCGATTGTCTGCATATCGACCGGCTAACCCTTCAGCTAGCAGCTAGGGTTAGCCTCCTTTGTGTTGATACATTGTCAGGCAGATTTGTGATAACCTTCTTTGACTGACAGAACCACTTTTGCACATGTGCAGAATGGATCTTGCTGGCGCTACGGATTTGGCACATCCTTCAACATTGCCATGGATTCTAGTTGGTTTAATGGTTTAAGAGTTCTGAGAAGTGCTGTCGCTGGCCTGTACGATTCCACATGTTCTGTCGTCACCCTTAAAACAATGCCTCAGTGTTTCAGAAGCATGCATGTGTATTATGTGATTGGTGACATCAAACCAAGACGGATCTGAACCGCAAGCTCCCATTTTACATCCCACCAACGTTTCACCCACACCTAAGGTGATTTACAGTAATGTTAAGTACAGTACTCGGGACAAATGTGACACTGCAAAGCATTTACAAATTACTTTTGCATAAGTGCTATATGATAGTAATAATAGTAATACAAAGCATTTACATCAATTATTAAATAGCATTTAAGTTACTCACATCAGCATTCAACTTAACAGTTTTGACCTTTATTGTTAATATACAGAAAACATCTTTGTCGACTGACAGATGCTTGTGGTAGATAAAGTGGTGTCCTTTCAATTATTTACATGATGTCTATCAGTCTATTGAAACAGGAAGAAACAACAATAATCAATAATAACGACATACTATGATCACATCTGATGAAATGTTTTTAGCAAATTTTATGTAAGTTATTACTTCTATTTATTTATTTATTTATTTATTTATTTTAATCTTTCTATCTTGCCATTTGATTGTGTTCCACAGTGTGCATTGAAATTCTTAAGTGCCCATTATATTTCTTCTTTTTGTACCTTTTATCTGTTATGTTGAATCAAAATATGATTGTTGGGATTTGATACATATTATATTGACTGTTGGGAGTGGAAAAATCAGCATTTAAGGTTATTATTAAATATTTATTGACAAATGACAGTAAGCATGATGTGGAGGAAAAATAATCCAGTTAACCAGTTAGCAAAAACAGCTTGTTAACATTGCATTTCTGATTGAAACCAATGGCCACTATTAGCACAAAGCTAATAAAAGTTATCTGTAGGTAAGAATACAGTACAGTACAATGACCAAGCTTAAAAACCACTACATGCAAAATGGTGCAACTAGTTATAAGACAACTCAATTGTAGCCAATGATATATATCTGAATATTGTTTCTTTGATTGTGCTGATTGTCATTCTGGTAAAAGTACATTCTCTGACTTTGTTTAAGCGCCCAAATTGCTGCTAAATATCCAATTCTTCTCAGCAATAGTGAGCTGGGAGAAGGATATTGGATATTGATAGCACTATTGATTGTTTCAAGAAAATCAGGTTGTTTCCTTCTTAAAGTAATGTGGGCCTTGTTTGATGGAGCTTCAGCCTTAAAGTTAGTTTTGCACATGAATGTTGTTTTAAAGTTGGTAAGGGATTGCCTTCTCAATGATCTTGATTTAAAATGTACTGCAAACATAAGTAAGACTAAGCTAATAACCACTTCAAAAAAATAACTCATTTGTAGACAACACATCAATTTGAGGGAACTTTTGTTCTGAAAATGTCCCAATTCAAAATAAATCTCAAAATGTCTTAACACAACAGAAACATTTTAAACATTTGTCATTACAAATAATTACACGTGTGGCTTGGGTGTGTATCACTGTCTCTTTGCATCAGTTTTATTTTATCCTCAAACGGATATGTAGTTGTTTGGAGCACAGCTCTTAAAATACAGATCCATTTCTTACAGTGTCACTTGCTTGCTCTTTCTCTCTCTGTCATGTCTGTTCACTGGTGTGAACCATCTCTTTAATATTCACACACACTCAACATTGAAATAAAGCATTGATTCCTAAATGGCAGCCATTTGTTGTGGTTTGGTTTTATAAAAACTCAATATTTTTTTGCAAATATTTGTATGTTTACATTGGTAGATTTGGGGCCTGTCAGATTCTTTCATATTAAGGGGCAGCATTGTTGTTTCTGAAGTCACCAAGTCATACATGTACACTGACCCCTAACCCCCACCCCCGCAGCAAAGTGAAATGGAAATACCAGTTTTCTACAGCGTTAAAGAAACAAACCAAATTTAATCAGGTGATCATTAATTGTTTTGTAAACAAAACTCAAAGTTCATGTACATTTTGAGACTATTTCTCTTGAAACAGTGTCTAAATAGGTGTTGGTTTCTTGGACAACTATCTGCCTCCCACACCGCTACCTGAAAAAAACACATCTTACTCCAATGTGAATAAGTGACCAGTCTCTAATCTTGCATTCAATTCAAAAATACCAGAACTAGTTTCTCAGCAATTGCTGTTGAAGGAATTTAGTCCAAATCATGTGCAATGATGATAGGGCTAGACGATTTCACCTAAAATCAAAATCACAATTAATTGAGCATTTTACCTTGATTATGATTATTGAACGATTATTTTGTTATTGAATGTTGTGTTTCTGTTTGCTCTCATAGTTCACTGACAACGTTTGCACTGTAAAAAAAAATCAATTATGTAAATGTCAGTTGAAAAGGTAATGTTGATGATCTGATACTCAAATTTACGTTGCTCAAGTGAAATCCAATCCATGTCTTTACTCATTATTAGAACAGCAACATGACACTTTTCCTGCCCTGAGTAGATACAGCAGAGGTGACACCAAACTGCTGGGCAGATTAAACCAGCTTGTACATGTCGTCACCACACAGCCAACATTGTCGCTCAGCTGTGTTGAGGAATTAAGAGCAGCAGAAACAAGAAGCCCTACAAACCACAACCACAGCACTCCAGTTATGGCTGCGATGGTGTGGAAAGCCCTCTGCTTTGTTTGGTCAACCCGCTCCTTTTCCCTGCCTCCTCCCCCTGGCCCTGGACGAATCAGAGCACAGACAACAGAAACGCTGCAAAAAGATACCACTATTATAGAAATGACCAAAATGCAGGTCAATTGAATGATGGGGTACTCAGGCAGGTACATAAATGTTAAACCCACCAATCCAAAGCACAGCAGCCAAACACACCCAATGCTGATGTTTCTGATCCTGACCGCACGCACATTTCTTAGCCCCAGGTAGGTGACGGGGTGAACAACAGCCAGGTATCGGTCCACACAGGTCAGGGTGTGAAAGAGGCTTTCTCCATAGAAAACAAAAAAAGTAGCACAGACTGCTGCTGTTGTCGTCATCGGGAGATTAGCATACATGGTCAAAATGTAGCAGATGGATCTTAACAGCCAGATCAGCTCCATGGCAGCCATGTGGTAGGTGAAGATGTCAGAGTGGCTTGTTCTTTTAAAGGAGTGTTGCTGCCGCCATCGTTGGAGACCCAGATAGAGGACAATGATGCAGACAGGCACGGTGAGAATGGTTCTTATGACAGTGACGGCCATGGTGATATTACTGAGGACTCTGGAGTCGGCGCAATAGTATAATAGAACATAGTTGGAGTTGGAGGCAGAAGAGTTAATTGACATATCTACTGTATGTAGCTGAAGACCTAAGGCGAATAAGAAATTAGAGGGACAAATCAGGAGGCAGTAGATTGAGACAAAGTCAGGATAAGTTAAATTTCATCCTCTAAAGGAATTCTGCTGTAAAGCATTTTGTCTACCTTCTGTACACTTACCACATCTAACAAACACAATAAGTGATGACACATTTTATTTTATGGGGTTACTTTCAAAAGCAATTAGACTGTTAATTAGTACAATAAAACTTTTAACCGAATTTTAACATACAATTGGAGAATAAATTACTTTTTTAAAATGATCAAAAGTCAGTTGAAGTTTGTTATTAACGGTGCTTTCCTGTCAATGAAACCAGTGTGAAAAACGAATCCAACTTAAATAGTCGGGCATTTTAGAAATATTAACTGACAATCATTAAGTTATTAATGAACACCCACCTTGTCAGCAGTGTTTGTTTCCAAATGTCCTTCTTCTGCTTCTCCAAACTCACTGACTTCTGACTCCAAATATATAATGATGCTTATGCGTGTGCGAGATGCTCTGTGTGTGACGCTCACGTGTCACACCGCTGCAGAATAGTGGGCTTTTTTGCATGATGCTGCACAAACATTGCACAATGATTTAGTGTAAATCTACACTTTAAATTACAGCATGCTAATTTTTTTCTGACAGAGTACTGACATATTTCAGCAGCTATGCTTCATTAGAAGGATAGCATTAAAAGAAGCATTAGAAACGTTTTGCATAGCTTGTGCATCTAGGGGTGAAGAATTTGAATGACTCGTGACGTTAAGATATCCATACCTATCATTTATTTTATTTGTCCATTACGTTTGACATAAATGACCTGCAGACAAACACAGGTGTTTATTCAAATGGATTGGTGTCATGCAGACTCTGGGTACATAGGGCCGGATTTACTAATACCCCGAATAAACAGTACTAAACTGCGAGTGCTTTCTGAAAAACGTGTAATTTTAGTACCTGTTATGGGTGATTAACTAAGAATTATTGCGTAGATGACAACAGGAACAAACACAATGGAGATGGCAGTATTTAAATGAGGGTTTTGCGTGTTTTAATGGTTTCCATCATGGAGAGTTGGGAGGGAAAGCAGCCACTGGGTAAAAACCTTGGTTTGTTTCATTCAGTATGTCCCAGTATGTGGAAATCGTATGTACCTGCCCATCCTGCCTAAGACTGCACTAAGTATTTGGGACAGCGCACCTTAATAACTGCTTTGAGAAACCCCAGCAGAAAAGGCTACACTATGCTGGAATGACCCAAAAGCGAGGAAAGGGTGCGAAGTACGGGGGAGTCAGGGGGAATAAGACATCAGCTCCCCTAAAAACATTATTTGTGAAATTTTGAGGGGTCTCTAAAATATTGACATTATGTTTTTTGCCATTAATTTCCATATTTCTGTATCATCATGGATAATGCGTAAAATCAGCTGCTTCATCCAGCCAGAGGGAACGATCACCGACCGTCCGCAGTGATCTCCTGTCCCTGGCCCTTTACGCCCCAACACCCCATTCCCTCTCCAAAACCTACAATGGGTTGTGTCGTTATTACGACCAGCTCGCTGTGAACAGTTGGTGATCGTTCCCTCTGACTGGATGAATTTTATGCATGATCCAAGGCGCCAAGCAACTTTCTAAATTCTTCCACCTCATGGAGAGAAGAAGTCAGGTTTGGCAGGAATGTTAATACATCAGTATTGCCAAAGCTTCAAGGAAAATACAAAAAAACAATTATATTCATATAGTTCATCGAATAAATAAAATATTTATTGGATATAGATTAATATACATACTATATTATAATATTTTTACTTTTCTACGTCTTCTTTCATTACGGCTGTGTCTCCTTCTCGCAACGACAGCAGCAGCCATCTCTGCGCAACACTTGGCTGTTTGCACCTTCCTTTTAAACGTAGTAAACACAGATGCTGTTGCACTCACATGAAATTGCTTTCAGGCTTGTTGGATCACATTGCGTGTAGTAAATCAATGTCTTTGCATGTTACCTTTCTATTACATTTCACAATAAAATTGAAACGCCCCAAATTGCATATTCATAAAGGCAAAAGTAGTAAATGAACCACAGGTGCTATCTTGCACTTCTGAAAGACGTCATTCTCCGTGCACACGTTTATACTCACGCAAACCTTTAGTAAATCTGGCCCATAGTACATAGAGCAGTTCTTTATTTGCTACATTATGACGATTATGATGTTATTACATCTCATTTTGAGGGGAACTTGAATATGTGTACAAAATTTCACAGCAATCCATGTGATGGTTGTTCAAAAAGTTCAGTGTAGACTAAAATGTTACAAAAAATTGTGGATTGTGGATCTTTCTTATTATATAACAAAAGTTCAGGAATAGGACCATGCCGGCTCTGACCTCTCTCTCTCTCAATAATTGCACCCATGCCTTCCTAATCCAGTCACCTGCACATACGTATAAGATCGTCTAACCCCTTTCTCTCTCGTTTGTCTCAGTTCTCATGACTGTTAGTTTAGACTCAGACACACACACTCAAGTTACTTAAAAGTACTTATTGCTTACCTTAATTTGGATTATGAGCTCGCTCTCAGCTCCTTGGACTGCCATCTGTACGTCGATCGGTCTATGGTCTCTGAATATCCTCCGTCCATAGTTATATCCATTCCCACGCAGCCAGACACTCATCAACCATGGCCGTGCTTTGTCATACAATTTCCTAAGCTCCGCATTGTCCACTATTGACCATCCAGCAGCTCTGGCCCAACTCCACCGTGCACACACAGAGGCCACAGCCACCATCGCCGACTTTCAGGAGAAGTCCAAACCCCCGACTTTAGACAGACCGCACACCGGCCTGATCCCGGCTCCTTCCCATGCCACAACCATCTGGACTTAAAGGTCATATCACCTTTAAGCTGCTGAATCCTGCCTGCCTGCCCTTGCTGCTCATTCTGCAAACAATCTTGTAATTCAGTAATAATGCTTGCTCTGATGTGCACCGAGGGTCTTTAATGTTGTTCTCTGCCTCGGGCTTTCCATGAATGTACATGGATGGACAAGGAGATCCCAGTAAAGAGCCATACGGCCAAATAAAAGTATAGTGGCATAAGTATCAGTTTCTTTGATGAAAGTCGAAGACAAAATAAAATGAGAAAAACTAAAAGGTAAATGCAACATAATAAATAAATGAAAGAGATGAGAGAATTGATCAGGAGACTGACTTACATAAACACTGTGCAGGTCAGGTTTTCACCTCAGATGGAGAGCTGGCGCTAGAATTCTGCTCTAACGGTGAAGGA